GAAAGCAGCACATAAGCTCGACACGTAAACCGCTAAGTGCAAATGCCACGAATGCCCTTTAGTCACAGGACAATGTAAATTTCAAGAAAGGCCAGATATTTTCCAATATCACATTCTGTGCTGGGATTGTCGATGAAGCAAAGATTTATTTTTTATGACAATCGAATAAGTTACTTATATTTTATTTTTATGAGTGGATTTTCGAGACTAACAATAGATCATATATATATATATATATATATATAAGATAAGTAGGGTGCCTAAATCTCATATAGATGGTCTACTGATAGTCCCGAGAACCTGCTTATAAAAACGATAATCAAGTAATGTAGTCGTTTGTTATAACAAATACAACTTTACTTCATCGGCAGTTCTATCAAAGAATGCGATATGGGAAAATGCCTGGCCCTTCTAGAAATGCTTATTGCTCTGTAACTAAAGGGCATTTGTGGCATTTTCGCGTAGTTGTTTACGTGACGAGCTTATACATTGCGCTGTCAGCATTCAAGTCCCACTAGGGATGCTGATGAGACCTAAGCGAGGCCGAAACTACAATCTACCTTGAATAAAGATACCTCTTGAGGCAACTAGGCTATATGAAATTCATTGGAAACGTAAAGTACATTTATATCACTATCTACCAATCCCTCTATCCCATTAGACGAAATAGGGTAAATACATCACATATATATGGTCTACTGTTAATCTATAAAACTTGCTTATAAAAATAAAAAATAACTATCCTTTGTTTGTATTCTCATGAAATAAAGAAGTCTCTAGGTCTGATGGATGACCACTAAATGCACTATATATGACTAGGTCGTGCTGTTTTTATTTTTGCAATGTAAACCTTGTTTAACTAGGCTTGTTAATGGGCCTTGGGTTCACAGAACCAAATGCGTCATCAGAAATTATTATTCACAACATGTGTAAATCTATCCACTTAAAAAACTCTCACTTCATAAAATTTATATTTAAGGCATAAAAAAAGAAACATGGGGCCGAAAGGCTAGGAATTATTTTACGATATCAGTTTAGCCACTTTGGCACCCATTAAATTGCGCTTATTTTAAAATAGGATCTTAAATTAATCATGGTTGCAAGGCATGGATGGAGATGATGGTTATTGAGAAAAATGTTTTCATAAACGTCAAATGAAATTGTCCATATTTTGGCCCAAGAACGGTTGGCTTCTCGGTGTAGCATTATGATCATTTTGGTTAAGAAATTCAGCCAACTATCCTGTTTTATTCACTGCTCCTCTTTTATTGGTGTCTGGGACCTAAAAATACATTAAGTATCGGCTCCAATGTTGGTTGATGCTGAGAAGGAAATGTTGTAGTGACTTACTGCTCTATGGCCTCATCAACTTTGCCCTCGGCCTCGAGCTCCTTAGCAAATGCATAGTGCGCTGAACGAATTCTAACTCTGTTATGTTTTTCGATCACTTGGAGGGCGGAGTCCCACTGTCCTAGGGCTTGGTAAATGCGGCCTACTAGATCCCAACGACCGGCATCGGCAAATATCTGCTTGGCCTTGTCCTAAAGCAGTGCATACGGAGGAAAATGAACGTGTTTTAAATAAAGAAACAAAAAAAAAGAATTGTATAGAGAAGGAAGGCTTTCAATAGTCGGTTATAAGAAAAATATATATTGGATTACCAAAATATATTAAGCAGATTATACAGGTGGATGGCCATAGATGGTTTCTTATGGCTTTTTAGTTGGTCCTTTTACCAATAACGTTAATATTTTTAGACGATTGGCTAGGCAATAGTAATGAAAGTGTTGAATTGAACTTGTTTTTCAAACTTGGTCGGAGCAACAGTAAATCACTTAACCCTGAGTCTTCAGCCATAGCATTAATGCAAACTTGATACGTTTCAGAAAGTCTCCCTGTCGCTCCAAGAAAGTTGTAAGAACAAGTTCAAGCAAACACTATATAGCTAAAGGAGACTACGACCAGGCATAAGACCACACCATCTTAACTGCCCATCCACGATTTTAAATAAAGGCCAATAAGGGTTAAACATTTAGTTTGGTGTGAATGCCTTGTGTTGATAATGAGATATGTGGAGGTGAGAAAATGAAATGTCATATTTCTTCCAAAGTGTTGCTATAGCAAGGCATCTCGCATCACTTTTGAAATAGTCTGATGAGATTTAAGAAAAATAAGGAGTGAAAAAAATCGGACTAAAAGAAGCAAATTAATTTTTATAAATAAAGAGATTAGAGAAATCTTGGCCATATACTCTATCATGCCAAAAATTCTTGAAAAATCCTCAAGTGTGGAAGATACTCATCAAAGAGGAATGAATTTGTATTAATTTTAGCCCCCAAATTAGGGAAACTTTGATAGAAATGTTGAATTTTAACAAAAAGAACCTTTAGGAAATGTAAGTTACTTTAAAATTAACAAGTGCTGGGGGGTAAAACATTAAAATGTCACGATTCAATTAGAGTTGAATTGACAACGTTTTCGCAACATGGTCGTGGTGTTTTGGAGATCTCAAAGGCAGCCAGTCATGCGCACTCTGCTGTAGTAGTCATGAGAATGTACAACATCGAACCGTCGAGTTTTAACATTATCATATATTTAGTCGGCATAGTAGTTGGGCCTGGTGAGTGAAAAGCATCATTGTCGGCACAGAGCAACAATTCTTCAATGGTGCAAATCAATATTCTGAAACGTAGCAGGCCCTCGACCCTATGCTGTGAATTATCATTACAATTATGACAGATGCGGGATTGGGTAGGTTTTTCGTGGTTTCTCTGACACCAAGAATAAGTTATTCAAACGAAGTAAAACCAACTCTAATCAGCTAGAGAGAACCTCGACCAACCCAAGGCAGCAGCAGCTTAGTTTCATATCTTCGATTCACAGAATCTTGCTAGACAGACATCCAGCCGGGTCAAAGTTTTCTCTGTGATCGTATATTCGTGGACTTGAGTTTATTAAAATTCATAATTAAACCTTAGTAATAAAACCTTTATATAGACTTACATTCATGCCTAATTGGAGCGCCAAATGACCTGCCTGAATTGAAGTATCCGACTCTGTTTCACAGGCTAATCGCAATTGCAGAGCCCCTAAGCCATTGCCCATCTTTCCTAGGCAGAGGCGTGATACATCTAAACGACGGGCCTCAACACACATCTTGGCCATATTCTTACAGGACACAAGAGGCAATTGTTCGTCAGATTGGCATGCGGATGTAGGTAGTCGTTTGAATGGAAGGGAAAAAGGTGACAAAAGGATGGGAAAAGCATGGGAAAAGCAAAAGGTATTACAATTTCCCGATGGAAATTAGTAAAAAGAGAAGTCATATGCGCGGAGCCAGAGTGAAGAAAGCTTAACACAAGGAAGACAAGAGATGACCATCTACTAAGAGGTACAGAATATACAATATTTCTAGTGGCTATTTCTTACAATAAGACAAGAGTGCCAGCATCTTGAGCAACTGTAAATATAGACAATATCTAATTAGATCGTAGATTTTTCGACAAACGTCTAGATAGTCTGGTCTTTATAACCATGAAATGATATTTTATTACTTAAGTGTAAAGACTACCGTGGCATTCTTGCCTACCATTTAAGGCGCTAGCTGATCTGTAATGAGGAATTTCGGGGTAAAAGAAACTGCCTA